AACAACTCAAAATTGGAAGACACTGAAAACTGGGGATAAAGAATTTTCTTTGATCACCTTTTCTTCTTTTGTTGGGTACGTAAGTTTGACACCTTCTGTTGAACACATCTGGTTATTGCTAAAGTGGTGATAGAACACAGAGTGTGGAGCTTTATCCTTTGCGTGGCCTTGGACTTGTCTGAGGGCTGGGAAACGGGGAAGGCCTAGGAGATGCTTTTGGTGGATCTGGGACACTACAGGATGAAATAACACTTCACCATACCAAGGTCTCTCTTGACTTTGCTTGGTGTTTATGTGTGGGTCTGATAGTGTTGGGTAAGAAGACAATGTGAAATGGGAAAGGTTCTTGGGAAGTCATAATAATTTTACAGTAGCTAAAAATCTATTTGAAAATATTTTTTTAAAACACGGGACTTCTTTCTTCCTTTAGTGGCAGGTCTGTATCAGTTTGTCTGGACTTCTGGTCTAAATTGGCCCCTTGCAGGACCCAGGCTGACGGCACACACTCCAGTGGGGCATATTACCAGTTAGCATGGCCCCAGGGAAGCAGAGTGGTGGAATGAGCCCAGGCTCCTCAATCTTCCACCTGCAAGTGGCACACATCACTTCAGCTCAGATGTCATTGGCAAAGCATGAACCACTCAACTCAAGGGAGGTGGGGAGAGCTTATATAGTGCTCCTGTGTGTTGGGCAGGAGAATGAAGATGCCTGGTGAATATCATGATCCTACCACATGTGCATCCAAGTTTTACCAGCCATAAATTCCTTTCAAGTAAAAGCTGTCACTTTCTGTTTGCCTTTCTGTGACACTTGACTATAATAGAAGTGCAAAAAATGTTAGGTGACTCGAAATCTTGACATGTGATTAGGACAAAATGGGAATGGGGCTATAAGACTTGGTCTTCCCTTCACTCTTTACTTTGTTTGGAACCTCTCTCCTTTCCTTGAGCTGGGGTTCTGACTCTGGAATTGATGACCTGGATGACTCTGGGTCATCACTTAGCATCTCTAAATATCAGTTCCACTTGCTGGAAAATGGGAAGATGATTCATCCCTTGTCAACACTTGTTGAGATAGTATGTGTTGGAAGCCAGTGAGTTTCAAAGGCTTGTGGCTCTGATTGTTGACCAGTGGCCCCTCTGGGGGTTCTTGGCTGCCCATCACTCTCTGACAAGCTGCTCCACTGAGGTCTGCTGTCCTCAGGCCCACAGGAAGATGTCTTTGGGATATGACCAATATATTCTATTTCATTATTTTAAAAAATGTTATTTATTGGAGAGTAAGAGAAAGGGGAGCATGAGAGTAAGAGTAAGAATGCATGACCACATGAGAGAGACATGAGAGAGAGAGAGAGAGAGAGAGAGAGAGAGAGCTCCTAAGTCTGTTGGTTCACTCACCATATGCCCTCAACAGCTGGGAGACTGATGCTAAGAACTGGAAACTGAATCTAGGTCTCCAGTGGGAGTGGGAGTGACCCAATCACTGGAGCTATCACCTGCTGCCTCCCAGGATCTGCAACAGTAGGCAGCTTGACTCAGGAGTGAAATGAGAACTCCAGCTCAGGCCCTCCAGTGTGGGACACAGACTTCTTAACCAAGATGCCAAATGGCTCCTCCAGAATATGGCCACTGTTAGGACATTATCTCACCATGGTCAGAAATGACAATGATAATGAGTCTGATTTTTTTATTAAATCAGGTTTATTTAGGTATAAATCACATACAATAAAATTCACCCTTTTTTTGTGAGTGCAGTTCTAAGAGTTTGATGAATGCATGCAGCCCTGCATCTACCACAATCAATGTGGGAGACATTTACATGCCCCTTAAATGTCCACTTGTACACGTGTGTGGACAAACTCATTTAGTAGGCCTGGATGCTGCTGCAATATTTTGTTGCCTTTTAGGGAATGTCAGTAAAGCTCTGACCTTCGAACACAGGTGATAATCTTTTTTAGTATCCTATAGTCCTTATCATAATGATCATTTCACTGTATATGCATTTGACAGAAGAGTTGTTCAATGTTCATCTCTTCTGCTAGGCTTTTGCAAGCACATCTGAGGAAAGGGAGGGTCGAGCCAGTTCATGATTGTGTTCCATGAAGCAGATGTTCAACAAATGTCATTTAATGAACGTAAGAATGAATGAATGAATGACTCAGTGATTATAACAATGTGCTAGGTCATGATGGACTCAGCAAAAGCAAGGTATTCATTGGTATCAAATCTATCATCTCATCCAGGGGCCATATGTTCAAACAGTCCTGAAGAGCAAATGCAGATGTTTAGTTATATTGGATCTGAGCATCTGCAATCATAACCATCACTAGTATATGATCAGTAGATTCAACTCATCAAAATCAGATGGAAAAATCTTTAATATTTTAGTACTGTTTTTTACTGTTATTGTATATAATTGTATATTTAAAGCTATTTTATTTTGTAGTTTTTGCACTCCATATATTTTGTAGCAAGTCTGACATAATAGTGATGCTTAAGAGTAAGATCATAAAGTCCTCAAAGTCGAGTTTATTTTCTGTCTGCTCATCAAGTTCAGCAAGGATTTCTTTGTATTTTGGTTTGGTTTCTTGTCCCTGTGAGGGTAAAGAATAAATAAAAACCAAACTTGTTATGCAAACCTTGTGTTTACAGACATAAAGTAACAATAAATATATTATTGCTTTTTAATTTTTGAAATTAATGGTAATTATGCATATTTATGGGCTGCAGGGTGAAGATTCAGTACATGTACACAGTTCATAGTGATCTGCATTTCCCCATCTTTACGTTGCTTTAGGATTGGAGGTGTTTTGTTTTATTTGTTTATACATATATACTAGGTGATTCTGCATCAAGTTACCACTAGTGCAGCAAGTTAAGCATGGTATTAAATCTTTTTTTAAAGATTTATTTATTTATTTAAAAGGCAGAGTTACAGAGTGAGAGAGAGAGAGAGAAGATAGAGATCTTTCATCCTCTGGTTCACTCCCCAAATGGTTGCAACAACTGGAGCTAGGCTGGTCCAAAGCCAGGAGCCAAGAGATTCCTTAGGGTCTTTTATGGGGGTGCAGGAGCCCAAGTTTCTAGGACATCCTCCACTGCTTTCCCAGGCACACCAACAGAGAGCTGGGTCAGAAGTGGAGCAGCTGGGACTTGAACCAGTGCTCATATGGGATACCGGTGTTGCAGGTGTCAACTTAACCCGCTACACCACAACACCAGCTCTATTGTTAAATATTTTAATGGGTTGTCTCATTTAATCTTCACCATGGCCTTAGTGAATTTGTTCTATAATTATCCCAGTTCTATAGATGCACTATCAAAGAGTCTGGTGAGAATTAATGGACTTGCCCAAGACTAGTGGATTTTAGTGTGGAGTCAGATGGACAGCTTTGTCTATCTGATTCTGCAAGTAACTGTTAAACTATCCTGCATTTCTTTGAATGTGGATATTGTTGGTTTCTGATTTTCAAAATATAATCTCTTTGTTACGGGAGGTATCTGCTGTATATTTTACCCAAACCATAGCAGCATCCAGAAATATGGAATAAATAATGCTAAAAGAAAATGTGCTTGGGAATATTGTTCAGCATTTACTTTACTCATAAAACAAATCCAAGTTCATAGTCCCCATGAACAGGTTGAAGGGGAAACATCTCAATGATACCTAAATGGAGATGCTTTTCCATTTCCAGCTCAGCTTGTAAGCTATCTTTCCCAGCGATGTTTAAAAGGCTGAGGTCATTTGACTCACTGTTATGCTGTGCTTTGTTTATTTTGTTCAACTGCAACTCTCACCCCTGTGCTAGCTGTAAAAAACAGTCCCAGCCAGAACCCAGCCACTTCTGTGGTGCTGGTACCTTCCTCCTACAGCTTTGGACCCCTTCTGGTCTTCCTTGGCCATTTATCCTCAAGAGATCACCCATTAGTGGGGGCCTAGGGAGCTCTTCAGCTCCTCTGCTGAGAGCTAAATTGGCTTTTTGGAAGGGATAGCCCAAGACAGAGCGATAACCACTTCACTGGTGGAATGCAACAGTGTTGGCTCAAAGGACACAGATGGGTGTAGATTTTCTGCTGTCTTTTTCCTGCTTGTTGTAAGAGCACAGAGCCGACTGAGGTCTGGTCTTCCTGGGGCATGACTGGCCAATTGTTTTTGTATCTTCTGAGCAGTGCCTTTAGGTGCTAATTTTATGAGAGCTGGCTGGCTATACATCAAAAAATCATATTTAGACTTATGAGAAAGGAGATTTTTCTACTTAAGGCTCAAGCCTCAGCCAAAAGGCCTAGCTCTATTTGCAAAGAACTCCCCAAGGGGATTTAGAAGAGTGGCCTGGTTAGGTCAGGGCAGCATCCCAACACTCCGTGTTTGCTAAGTGAAGTTAAATAGTGTTGCCTATCCCAGGAATGTCCTGGGGTGAGCTGTCCCCTCGAGCCCCTGAAATCTGGCTCTGCTGTCTGGTGCCTGTCATCTCACACAGCAGACAAAATTACGCTGAGGCCTGGGTGTGTCTGCAGCTACAGAAACCCTGAGATCAGTTGCTTTTCTTGGGTTTAGCCTACACCGAGGCACAAGAGGCTGAGGGTATCTTCCCAACTGACTTGGGTTCACATGGTTTTCCTTTGGTGTCGTCAGAGGGCTGGTAAGTTGCATCAAGATGAAAGATCCACTTAGGCCTGTTGTCATCCTTGTCTTCTTGTTACAGGCTTGCTGGGGAGTTTTCATCTCACAGGTGACAGGCCCCTTTTCTCCTGGGCCATTTCTTTCCGCCTCTGATGCAGGCTAATGTTAAGGGGTTTATTCACCTCCTTTTTTAAGACACTCAAAACTTTTTATCTCTCATCAAATTCTGCCTGATACTTAAGCAAGAAAAAGGCTCTTCTTAATATTTTAACAATGATCCATATTTTTTTAAAAAAAATTTTAAAAAGAAAATGTAAAATAAGTTTTTACTCCATTGCCCAAAGGCAATTCCTTTTAGCCATCTCTTTCCAAGCATTTTTCTGTATCACATTATACATTTTTGTGTGTCATACTATATTCACAAAAACATAACTATTAATAATTATATGGCCAGCACCACGGCTCAATAGGCTAATCCTCCGCCTGCGGCACTGACACCCCGGGTTCTAGTCCTGGTTGGGCTGTTGGATTCTGTCCCGATTGCTCCTCTTCCATTCTAACTCTCTGCTGTGGCCTGGGAGTGCAGTGGAGGATGGCTCAAGTGCTTGGGCCCTGCACCCATGTGGGAGACCAGGAGAAACACCTAGCTCTTGGCTTTGGATCAGCACGGTGCGCTGGCCACAGTGTGCTGGCCGCAGCGGCCATTGGGGGGTGAGCCAACGGAAAAGGAAGACCTTTCTCTCTCTCTTTCTCACTGTCCACTCTGCCTGTCAAAAAAAAAATTATAGTCACAGGGAGTTGTGCTCTTGGTCCAATTCCTTCTGGTGAGTGATATCTTACATGACTGGAGTATAGTACAGCCGTGTGTATGTGTGTGTGTGTGTGTGTGTGTGCATGCGCGTGTGCACATGAATAGAATAGTTATCTTTTTAATATAGGAACACATAGCACCCTAGAGACTACCTCTGCAATTTTTTCTTGCTCTGCCTATCAGCAAGTAATGGTGGTTCCAGCTTGTGTGATGCCTACTTTTCTTCATACACATTTTCCCTAGGCCAAAATTTCCCAAAGTCTGAAATACACTGGTGGTAGAATGTCATCTAGTTCTACGTGATGTAAGAATAACTGCTGATAAGAATGAATAATCATCTTTTATTTGTTACTATCATTTCTATATTTTACTGACTGAATTTACTTTTAGAAGAGTTACAAAGTATCTTTACAAAACAAACATTTAGGTATAGCAAAAACGTAAAGGGAAAGTTGCAAGTAAACAGTGATTCAGGCTATAGGTAAATGTGGAGAAATACTGAAAGTGGAATTCTAATCAGGGACACCTGAGAAACATGCCTCTAGGTGACTCAGGTGACTCCTTTTAGGTGAGTGACATTTGTAGATTTCCAGGACTCATTTCTGTGTCTCGAACACTCGATTTCTTTCCAGACTTCCCAACTCATACAGCCTGTGGCTGGCTGAGTTTCTCCACTAGAATGTTCCATGGACCTCTTAAAATTGACACATGCTAACGGAATCCATCACCTGCTCCCCCTCTCCCCACTTCCAATCTGCTTCCCCAACCTCTATCATTTGCGGAACCAGCATTCATCACTTCGCTAATTTGGAAACTGAAGTGTTGCTGTTTTCTCTTTTCCTTCAACTCTGAAAGCCAATCTGTGTTTGGATCCTGCTCTCTCCACCCTCCAAATGTCTGGAATTTGTGTTTCCTTCCACCTTCACTCTAGTCCAAGCCATCTCCATCTTTGGATTGAATTGCTGTACCATAGTTAGCCCTTTTTTCTGGTCCTCCCATGCCTCTCTATCATCTACACTGTGCCTCAGATTTGCTTTTCTTTAAAGATTTGTTTATTTACTTGAGAGGTAGAGTTATAGACAGAGGGAGAAAGAGAGGGAGAGGGAGAGAGAGGAAAAGAGAGATTCTCTATCTGCTGGTTCACTCCCCAAATGGCCACAATGGCCGGAGCTTGGCTGATCCAAAGCCAGTAGCCAGCAGCTTCTTCCGGGTCTCCCATGCAGGCAGGGGCCCAAGAACTTGGGCCATCTTCTACTGATTTCCCAGGCCATAATCTGGGAGCTGGACTGGAAGAGGATCAGCTGAGACATGAAATGCTGCCCACATGGGATTCCAGCACTGCAGGTGGAGGCTTAGACTCACTATGCCACAGTGCTGTACCCACTGGGGTGTGTTTTCATTCCTTGACTTGCAGACTGTTCCTGGCCTGGTCATGCTCTCAGGCTCCGCAACCATGAGATCTAGCTACTTCTGACCCTCACCAACCTCCTCTTCCACTATTTCCTACATCCCTCCCTATCCTCACTAAGTACCTAATGTCTTTCCAGATCGTTGACCAGCCTCAGGGCCTTTGCATATGCCATTCCCACTGCTTGGAATGTCACCATTTTTTACTACCCCTTGCCTACCCAAATTTTGTTCACTCTTCCAGGAATCTTTGACCAGCTGCTCCAAGTTGTTGCCTCTACTTCCTCCCTGAATGTTATGCTATATCATGGCCTTTGAGTACTTCTAATTACTTTTTCACCATATTTAAAAAAAAATTTTGCTAGATTTTTAGTTTATTTTCTGCATTAAACCTGGTCTCCAGCTCCTGGAACATAGTTGGTACTCAACAAACATTTGTCAGAGTTGTTGGCTTTCTGTGTCAGCCATCATGGTGTGGTTCCTTTTTCTTCAAGCATGTAAGTCCTCTTACCTCTGTGAAATTGCTAAATTGGGTTTGTAGAAGATGTTTGGCAGTAGTTTTTGCAAGTTTACCATCCGGGTCAGAAGAGTTCCTGAAAATCAGAGCCAGTGGCAATGGCTTTTTCCAGATCTGAGCCCTTCTCCAGAGCTGTGAGAAAAGACATGTGCAGTGAGGTATCATAGATAAAAAGTAACCCTTCCCCAGGGGACACGGTCAATTAAGGTACCAACTGTGTGCCCGCATCTCACATGGGAGGGCTGGTGTGAGTTTTAGCTGCTCCTCTTCTGATCCAGCTTCCTGCTAATGTGATTTGAAAAGCAGCAGAAGATGGCCTGAGTATTTGGAGCCCTGCCACCCATGTGGGAGCCCTGCCACCCATGTGAGAGACCTGGATGGAGTTCCAGGCTCCTGGCTTCAGCCTGATGCAGCCCTGGCTTTACAGGCATTTGTGAAGGGTCTCCCATGTGGATGGCAGGGACACAGCTATTGGAAGCATCACCTGCCACCTGCTAGGGTGTGCATCAGCTGGAAGCTGAAATTGGTAGCAGAGTTGGTAGAACCCACGCACTCAGATAAGATACATCTGAAGCAGCCTCTTACCTGCCATGCCAGACACTTGCCCCTGGAATTGATTTTCTTGGTCACACACAGCATCTCCGCAGGTCAGTATGCTAAAGAAGAATGCTACTCAGGAGAAGCTTTGTGACATAATGAGAGACAAGTGATCTCCTTGGTTGTGGCCTTACACAGCCATGTGCTAGTTGACTGCTCTGATTTAAATTCTTTGAAAGAGCAGAGCTACAGACTTGGGCTCTGTGCTCTCTTACATCCTGCAGCATAGAATTTCCCACACTTTATAGTCAGTGCGTGTTTAACTCGCTCCTCAACTGCTTTTTTTTTTTTAATCACTATATTCCAGGTGACCAGTGGAGATGATCCATGGTAAGGGCTCATATATGCTGTTAAGTGAACACTTGGAGAAGTAAGGAAAACAAAATATCTCATATTTCAGCCTAGGAAGTGTAGACAGAACAATGTCACTTTTGTATTGAGCAGTCACTATGTGCCTGGTAGTCCCTTAAAGAACTCAGCATGCAGAGGGGACAGAACCAGATGTGGTCAACTCCCTCAGACACCTTAGGAGAGAAATAAGTAAAGAGTGGATGTCTACATGTGGATCTACATACATATTCAGGTTTATTTATTTTTGATAGTTATTTCTCTTCACACACACACACATACATGCACACACATAACATACATTTTGCAAATTGTGATAGATGAAGCAAAGAAGGTGCAAAGACAGAAAAATATTTTTCTGTTGTGTTTGAGAGAAGACTTAGGTGATCTTAAATGCCCCCGTGTTCACTGGTTCACTCTCCAACTGGCCGCAATGGCTGGAGCTGCATGATCTGGGGCCAGGAGCCAGGAGCTTCTTTTGGGTCTTTCACGTGGGTACAGGAGCCCAGGGACTTGGGCCATCTTCCACTGCTTTCCCAGGCCACAGCGGACGGCTGGATAAGAGGTGGAGCAACTGGGAACGAATCAGCACCTAGATGGGATGCCAGCACTGCAGGTAGCGGCTTTACCCGCTACACCACAGCGCCGGCCCTGCTACATAATCTATTGCAATTCTCTGTTTGTTATACAATTTGCACAAATTTCTTCAGCTTTTTCATGCAATTTAATAAATCCAAAATTCTTATGGCAGAACATTTAGTAGTGTCATACATATCAGAATAATCTATGAAGTTTCTTTATATGCCTTTTTATAAGATTTAGGTTCTGGAAATTATGGTGGTAGGTCATGATATTCTAAGAGGTTTCCTAATTATAAAATTATTTCAGTTAACTGTTTGCTAAGTTTTTGTTTTGTTTTGTTTGGCTTTGGTTTTGTTTGGATAGCTGTTTTTGTTTTGTTTTGTTTCCATTTTTAAATTTTGCCTTCGTGGGGCTGGCATTGTGGTGTATCGGGTAAAACCGCTGTCTGCAGTGCCATCATTTCATGTGGGAGCCAAATCACGTCCCAGATGCTCCAGTTCCAAATCAGCCTCCTGCTAATGACCTGGGAAAGGCAGCGGAAGATGGCGCAAGTGCTTATCCTCTGTCATCCACGTGGGAGACTTGGATGAAGCTCCTGGCCTCTGATTTCAGCTTGACTCAGTTCTGGCTGTTGCGGTCATTTGAGGAGTGAACCAATAGATGGAAGCTCTCTCTCTTTCTCTCTCTTCTCTCTCTCTCTCTTTCTGTTTCTCTCTGTCAGTAACTCTGATTTTCAAATAAATAAATGTTTTTTAAAAAATAAAGTAAAAAAATACATAAAATCTGCTTTCCCATATCATAATGTTCCTGAAATAGTAAATGATTTTTTCCAAAACTGTATTTAAATAAAAAGCAATAAAAACAAGTATTTTTTTTTTTTAAAAAAGCCCCATGCTGGCGCCGCGGCTCACTAGGCTAATCCTCCGCCTTGCGGCGCCGGCACACCGGGTTCTAGTCCCAGTTGGGGCGCCGGATTCTGTCCCGGTTGCCCCTCTTCCAGGCCAGCCCTCTGCTGTGGCCAGGGAGTGCAGTGGAGGATGGCCCAGGTGCTTGGGCCCTGCACCCCATGGGAGACCAGGAAAAGCACCTGGCTCCTGGCTCCTGCCATCGGATCAGCGTGGTGCGCCGGCCGCAGCATGCCAGCCGCGGCGGCCATTGGAGGGTGAACCAATGGCAAAGGAAGACCTTTCTCTCTGTCTCTCTCTCTCACTGTCCACTCTGCCTGTCAAAAAAAAATGATTAAAAAAAGCCCCAGTGAATAGAGTAAAAGCTAAGCTAACACCGATAGGGTGACCAGCCAACCATGGAAAGAGGTGGGATTCGGGCTTTGGTGAGTGTTGTGGGCAGGCTCAGGGAGCAGCACATTGGAAGGCTGAGGTCAAGAGGGGCTGGCACCTTGGAAGGGAACAGTCGTGGCTGGAGTCGAAAGCTGCAAGGGTCTTTGATTAGGAAAGGTAGGCAGAGGCTATATCATGTGAGGCTTACAGGCCATGAAAAGGAATCTGGATTTTCTGTAAAGTGTAGAGAAAGCATTAAAGGGCTTAAATGTGTAATTTTTAAAAAAGATTTATCTATTTATTTATTTGAAAAGCAGAGTTACAAAGGCAGAGGCAGAGAGGTCTTCCATCTGCTGGTTCACTCCCCAAATGGCTGCAATGGCCGGAGCTGGGTTGATCCAAAGCTAGGATCCAGGGGCTTTTTCCAGGTCTCTCTCCAGGTCTCCCACGTGGGTGCAGGGGCCCAAGGAGTTGGATCATCTTCTACTGCTTTCCTAGGCCATAGAAGAGCTGGATCAGAAGTGGAGCAGCTGGGAATAGAACCGGCACCCATATGGAATGCTGGCAGTGCAGGCAGTGGCTTTACCCATTATACCACAGTGCCAGCCCCACATCTAATTTTTCATGTGGAGCAGACAAGAGTCGAGAGGAATGAGTGAAGGAAGGGAGTGTGTGGACTGCCTTAGTTTTTACTTTATTTCTGAGTAGGGTGAACACTAAGTTATGATGTGACAGTTAAAAATTTATTTACTTCTTTTCTTTTTCTTTTTTTTTTTTTTTTTAACTTTGAAAGGCATGGAGACAGACAGGGAGAGCTTTCATTCATGGTTTTACCTCTCCAAATGCCTGCAACAACCAGAGCTGTGTCAAGCCAAAGAAAAGTACCTGGAACTCAATCCAAGTCTACCACATGGTGCCAGGGACCTAAGCTATCATCTACTGCCTTCCAGGGTGCACATTGGCAGGCAGCTGGATCTAAAGTGGAGGAGCCAGGACTCGAACCAGCCACTTCAGTATTGTGTGCAGACATCCCCGGTGGTGACTTGTGCTTCTCTCTGATATGACAAATTGTGTGAACACAAACAACAACCAAAGAGACTGGTTCTAGTCAATGTGTTGGCACCTCTACCTATTGCAGGGGAAACTGCGTCTCTACCTGTGCCCTGCCACCATCCATTTGTCCTGAAGCTTGAACAACTTGGACTTTCTGCTCTTGTACAATAGATGATGCTTTTCTTTGCCGCTCACTCAGGAGTCCCTACTAAGCTGTTCTAAGCTAAAGCAAGTCAAGGACTTGTGTGTAAGCAGCAATCTGGTGGGGACAGAAGAGTGGAGCTGCCATCTATCTAGCACCTACTATGAGCTGGATACTTGGTATAAATTGTATATTTAATTCTCATAACATCCATAGGATTTATTATATGAGGCCTCCTCAAAAGATTCATAGAAAATATATATAATGAAAAAAATGTGCACATGTTTCAGATCTTTTTGCACTGAAATATTTATCTTTCAGTTTTGTTTCCCACAAACTTTTTCAAGTACTATTCTGTTATTTAAATTTTTATTGTATTGTTAAGAAAGATTTATTTATTAAAAGAGAGAGAGAGAGAGATGGAGAGACAGAGACAGAAAAAATAGAAAGGGAGAGCTATCTTCTATCCCCTGGTTTTCTTCCCAAGTGGCTGCAGCAGTCAGGTCTGGACTAGCAGCCAAGACCTCTATCCAGATCTCTCACATGGTGTCAGGAACCCAAGCACTTGGGCTTTCTTTTTATCTGTTTTCCCAGGAGCATTAGCAGGAAGCTGAACTAGGAGCAGGGAAGCCCAGACTTGAACTAGCACTATAATATGGGATGCCAGCATTATAAGTAGTGGCTTAACCTGCTGCACCACAACACCAACCCAAAAATGTATAGTATTTTTTAACTTTATATTTTTAAATAGTTACAGGATGTTGTAAAGAAGTGTGTGAAGAGGTCTCATGTACCCTTAACCTGGTTTCCCCAAATGGTAGCAGTTTGTATGACTTTAATAGCAAAACTGAGAATCAGAGATTGATAAAATCCAGAGCTTGTACAGATTTTACATTATTTCTATACTAGTTGTGTGTATGTGTGTGTGTAGAATTCTGTTCAGGTTCATTCCACATGCAGTTTGGTAGCAACATACAAAAGTGTCCCATCAATACTTATCTTCATATTACTTCTTTGTAGCCACTGCCAATCCCTCTACCCTCTATTACTAACCATTGCCAATCATTAATCTGTTCATCTGTGCAGTTACATAGTTTTATGAGTGTTATATAAATGGGTTCATGTACTACCTA